TTAGACCACTGAGCCATCTCTCCAGCCCTATCCCAACCACTTTGAATACACAGATACAAAATGGACATTCATAGTTATACCCCAATTTTTTTTAAGTTCCGTTGTTGAATATTATAGGTGTGTAAACTCAGCCAAATATTCTAAAAGAGTACAGAAGCCCATAATATCATTGGGTCTTCTGTTTAACTGGCAAAGAAGGATTTTTTTTTTTTTTTGGCGGCCTGAAGATGCTGTCAGGGCATTTGTGGTTTCCTGTGTGTATCTGGGTTCGAACCAGAACAACTTGAGTCTGACTGCTTTGCTTAAGCAGGCACTTAAACAACTGAGCTAATGGGCAGGCCTCTCTTTTTTTTGTATTTAGGACAGGGTGTACAGGGTATACAGGGTCTCACTGAGATCAGACTCCCAGTGATCCTCCTGTGTACAGCCTCCCAAATGCTGGGATTACAGGTGCGTGCCACCATGCTCAGTCTCAATAGCTGTCTCAGCACCCCGGGGGCAGGGCTGGCACGGCAGGCCCGGAGATCAAACTCCCAGCCCCTGCGAGACATTATACTAAACAGTCACAAAAGCTCATGCATCCACTGATTCTACTTATATAAGATAATCAGAATAGGCAAATCTATAATATGCAAAAAGTTGACTTGCAGTTGCCTTGGGCTGGTAAGCTGGATGTAAGGGCAAAGGAGGCTGGACTGTTCAATGGTCAGGGTATTTTGGAGGTGATAAGATATACCAACACTGTGGTGAAGGTGCACAGCTCTAACTGTACCAAATCACTGGACCACACATTTTAAGTATGTGAATTGTATGGTATGTGCATTATATTTGTTATTAAAACATGTGGCACATAAGCTAAGATTTTTGATTTGTGACAATTGAACAAACTTAGAGCTGTTTACTAGTCAAATAAACTAGTTTTACTGAAAATGATAGATTAGAACATAAAGTCTTAGATTAAAAATCCAATTAAAGACATAACAAATACCTCCACCACAGAAGGATGCTTTATTATATGGAAAAAGAAATAAACCCTCTGAGTTTATTAGACACAAAAATACCTACTTTACCTGTTGGAAAACAGGGTGCTGGCAATGAATGACCAAACAGCAAATTAGAGATAGCTTCTTTTAGTTGATAACTGGACAAATAAAATGTGAGGCACATAGACAGAGAAATATTAAACCATAAGCATAAGGCAGAGTGCGGGGAAGTGACTCAGTGGTACAGTGTATGCTGTAGCCCAGAGCGGTGCACAGCATGGGCGACACTTGTAAATATCCTCAGCTGGAGGAGTCACGTGTAGGTGAGGGGCTTGGGGAGTGACTGCTAATGAGAATGAGATTTGCTCTTGGGGTGAGGAAAGTGGTCTAAACTTAGGAGGGGCTCAATTCTATACACACACACACACACACACACACACACACAATTTTTTTTCTTTTGGTGGAACCAGGGATTGAACTCAGACACTTGCGCTTGCCAGGCAAGTGTTTATTCTACTCAGCCATCTCCCCGGCCCCTACACAAATATTTTTAAAAATTCTTCTAAACTGTACCCTATACATGGCTGAATTGTATCTTTTTTTTTTTTTTTTGTGGCTGACTCAGCGGGGCTGTCACGGCATGTGGTACTGTGGATGGAACCACAGTCCCTGCATTTGCCTTAGCTTGCTTAAGCAGGCGCTTTAGACCACTGAACAATCTCCAGTGCAGCTGAATTGTATCTTGATAAAGATGTTTTTTTTTTTTTTTTTTTTAAAAACACCTCTTGATTCCACTCTCGCTTTATTAAGGTTATACTATGTGTTGCAGATCTAGGATGTCACATCTGTGC